TTTCAAAAGCCTGAACCACTGCCTTTGACCCGACCCTGCTTGTTTTCTCCCAGCCTTGTTTCTTGCCCTTGCCTTGCCTGGAACCCTGAAGCCGCGTTGCCATGTTCCATTGGACATGGGCCCTTGGACCTGCCTTGCATTCTCTGTCCTTGGTTCCTGTATTGTTTCCCCAACCATGTCTGGGTCCAGCCTTGCCCTTGGCCCTGTTTTGCAAGTTTCCTGCTGTACTAAAGCTAATAGCCCCTTGCCCTGTATTTTTGGCCATGGCCTGTGTTACCGTAGGCCCTTGCCCTTGCCGTTTGGCCCGGGCCCTTTAACCCTGGCCTTCTTTTCTTATTCTCGGCCTGTTCCCATTTTACCCTGGCCTTTTCTTACCCCTGGCCTTTTCTTACCCTGGCCTTTTTTTCCAGCCCCTTGGCCTTACCCTGGCCTTTTCCAACCCTTGGGCCTTTTTCCAACCCTGGCCTTTTTTCCACCCCTGGCCTTTTTCCACCCCTGGCCCTTTATTTCTACATTGGACTTTTTTTCTTAAACCCCTGGCCCTTACCGTTCCCTTGGCCTTGGTCCTGCCCTTGGCCCTGTTGCTGTCTTAGTCCTGCCCTTGGCCCTAACCCTCACACTCCCCTGGCCCTGCCCTTTAACCCTGGCCTTGCCCTGCCATGACCTTGCCCTTGGCATGCCCTGGCTTTTTCTTGGTTCTGGGCCCTGCCTTGGCCCTTGCCTGACCTTTCCCTGGCCATTTTTTTTTGCCTGGTTCCTTCTCTGGCCTTTTGCCCTGGGCCCTTTTTGGTTCCTGCTGTGTTTTTCTGGCTTGCCCTTGTCCATTGTTCCAAGACCCTGGCTCTTGGTTCCTTTGGTCTTAACCTGTCCCCTGCCCTTGCGCATACGCCCTTGACCCATTTCCTTGCTCTACACCTGGGAACCTGGCCTGCCTTTTTGGCCATTTGTGCTTTTACCCTTGGCCCTTTCCCTGACCTTTTTCTGCTGGCCCTGGCCCTTGCCGTGGCCTGGCCCTTTTTTTGCGCCCCAATGGGTTCCCTGGCCCCCAGCCCTGGTTTCTTGCCTGTGCTTTGGCCTGGCCCTTTTTGGTCCCTTTGAAACTTGTTTTTTGCTGGCTTGTTGAACCCTTGCCCCTTGGTTTTTTTTCTTGTTTTTGGCCGGTACTGTTTTCCCCGTTTTCTGTTTCCTAGTTCCCTGGCCCCTGTTCCCAGTTTTTCTGGGTTCATGCCTGACTTTGGTTTCACTGCACTAAACCCCCTTTTTGGCCCTGCCCTGCCAAACGCTTTTGGCCCATTGCGGCGCCCTTGGACTTTAAAGGAAAACCATGCCCATGGGGCCCTTTTGGCCCCCCTGGTCCTTGCCCATTTGTTCCTTTTTTTTACCCTGCAACTTGGTTTTTTCCTTGCCCATATTTTCCCTGAAACCCCTGACTTTTTTTTGGCCCTGGTTTCCTTTTCATCTGGGCTTCTTGGTCCTTGCCTTGCCTTTTCTTTGGCCCTTTGGCCCCCCCTTTGGCCCAAAACTTAACCCCTTTTGGGGGCCCCTGGGGGGGGGCCCCCCCTTTGGGGCCCCCCCCAAAGGCTCCCACTTCCCCCTGGCCTTTCCTTGCATACCCTGGCCCTTGCCATGCCATGGCCCTGCCTCTGCCTTGGGCCCTGCTCTGGGCATGGCCTTGGCATTTGGCCTGTGCCCTGGCCCTCCGTGCCCTGGACCCTGCCCTACCACTACCTGGCCTTGGTTCCCAGCCCTGCCCTGGCCCCCTCCTTGGTCTGGCCCCTGGCCCTGGCCCTGACAATGCCCAGGCCCCACACTGGCCATGCCTTGACCCTGGCCCCTCCTTTGGCCCTGCCCTGGCCCTGTGCTATCTTAGTCTTGCCCTGGCCCTGAACTCGCCCTGGACCTACCCTCACCCTCCCCTGGCCCTGCCCTACCCTGGCCTTGCCCTGCCATGACTTTGCCTTTCGCATGCCCTGGCTCTGGTTCTGCCCTGGCCCTGCCCTTGCCCTGGACCCTCCCTAGGAGGTCATGTTTTTTCCCTGGTCCTTCTTTGTCCCTGCCCTTGCCCTGGACCCTCCCTGGCCATGTTTTTTCCCTGGTCCTTCTCTGGCCTTGCCCTGGCCCTGGCCCCTTTCTGGTCCTGCCATGTTTCGTGGTCATGCCCTGCTCTGGCCTGCCATCCCGTCACCATGCATGTCGACCTTCTCAGAGCCTTTTGGACCACCTCACGCTGAGTGGCCTCCAGGCCACCGACCGCTTGCTTGCCCCTAAACATGAGCCTGCTACCCTGGACTATCATATGCTTTTTCCGTCCATGTCACGCCACAAAGCCCCATGTTCTCCCACTGACCTCCTCTCCACCTCCACCCGAGTCGCGGCCTTGGCTGGACTTCAGTGGGGCCTCCACAGTTACTTTTGTTTTCCCCGCAGTCCCCCGATGTTTTCGCTGCTTTGCCTCTTCAACAACCTCAGGGGCGTGGCCTTCTCCAGCCAGGGTGATCTCGCGGTCTTCTCTTTGGTGTCTCCAGTGTAATCCCATCGTGGTCGACCTCTCCGCGTGCTGGAGGGAGGCTGCCCACCACCTGGGGGCATCTCCATTGCTCACATGGCAAGTCCCAGCAACCGGCTATTCTTCCTCGACCACCCCTGAGTATTCCTTCTGGGGGAGAACCCCCAACTCCTGGCGAGATGAATAGATGGATATGTGGGCCTGCACATTCATCCACCCCGACTGCAGAGGTTGTCTGGAAAACTCTCATCAGCAGTTACAGCAGTGATGAACGATGTGGAGGAGAAAGATAAGGGGGGGCGGGACTACCTGCAGTTATGACATTACCTAATCACTTGAGGAAATGGAGTGGGACATCAACGACCTCTAAATTCCCTTCTTGGAATGTGACAACCCACCACAGCAGCTGCCCGGTCCTCAGCAGGTCTTCTGACCATCACTGGCCTAATGGGGGATCAATTAGAGCAGATAATGCAGCAGCTCTTTCCTGAGGACCTCCCCTTTTTCAAATAGTGAGTCCCCTGGTGGCCATGCCTGTGTGTTTCTTAGAAACCCTTCCTCACAGAATGCACACTCTGTACCGTATTGTTGATAACATAAGCCCTCCAATTTCTCTTCCAGGCGTGAACCTAGAAGTTGAGGCATTCCCTCACAGCTTTCCCAGGCACAACCCTAGCCCACACTATGACCCAGCCCCATACCTTTCACTTAACCTGTGCCCCAGTCCCTGTCCCCTCCTCTCTGGTTGTGGAACCAGATGCAGGCCAGCTTCTCACCCTGTTCCCATAGCCTTACCGATGATCTTCTCACCCAAGATTAGGGGTCTGTGGAGCATCTTTGCCTATACTATCCCAGGAGAGGGCAGTCTGTCAACCCCACGCCGAATTTGTTGGAGTATGTTTGTAATGGCCCTTGCAGAAGTGACGCAACAATGGAAGAAGAGTTTTTTCCCTTTTTCCTCCAAGAAGTCTCAGGCTGTCCTGAGCCAGCCCATGACCATCTTTGCACAGGATGGAGGCCGAGTCCTTCCCAGAGGCCCTAAGTCAGCCCCCCTCATCCTTTCCAGGGTTGGCAACCAGCCCATGAGCTCCACAGCACTGGTGGAAGAAGTAGTGCTCATTGCAACCAGGAGCAGTCCTGTGGCCCTTCCTAGCACGGATTCCATCTGGAGACATGCCTTGCGCCTGAGGGGGAAATTCAGGGGAAACCAGAGTCAGTGCTGAAGGACACACAGGGGTTCTGTCCTGTTGCCTCGCCATGCTTCTGAATTTGCTAGGAAAGGGCAGAAGGATATTCAGAAGTACAGGCTCGAGGAGCTCTGGAATGGTATGTATCTGGGAAGAGGTGCTTAGTCGGGTCAAACGTTAGAGCCACAACCAAGCCAGGTTCAAGGCACAGAAAGCGTCCGAGGTGCGGAGAAATGAACGAACTGGCAGTAAGGTGACTTTAGTGAAGCCTTGGATCAGTACCCCAACGTATGGTCTCTCACACCCAGGACACCTAGAATAGAAGCATTGGAAAACAAA